CCACCTCCACCTCCACCTCCACCACTAGATTCACCTCCTACACCACCACCAGCACCGTATCCATTACCATGGCCTGAACCTCCATTAGCCCCACTTCCTCCACCACCACCATTACCTCCTCCTGCTCCAACTCCTCCTATTGCTACCCCTGCACCAAAACCACTACCATGGCCATACCCTTCACTAGAACCATTATCACTATTACCACCATTGCCACCATATTCACCTCCACCTCCACCGCCTCCACCACCACCACCACCATTGCCTCCACCTACCTCAACTCTTCCTATGGCTATCCTTGCACCAAAACCACTACCATGACCATACCCTTCACCAAAACTATCATGACGACTACCACCTCCACCTCCACCTACACCACCAAATTCACCTCCTACACCACCACTAGCACCATATCCATTACCATAACCTGATCCTTCGTTAGCTCCATTTCCACTACCTTCGCCACTTCCTCCACTACCACCACCACCTTTAGTTCCCATGTCACCTCCAGCTCCATAGCCTTCTCCATGCCCAAAACCCCCAACAATGCCATTACCACCTCCACCTCCACCCACACCCCCATCCTCACGCCTTCCTCTTCCTCCTCCTCCTCCTACACCATCTCCCTCTCCACGTCTAGAACCTTTCCCACCTTCTTCACCACCACAAACACTAGCAAAACCCTTGCCAATTTTACCAAAGAAGTTCCCACAACTACGCCAACTTCTATATGAGCAATAATCCTCATCATCACCACCAAATCTCCATCCACTTGAACGTCCATAACCACTACTCTCATCTACTTTACCCCCATGACCAACACCACCCAAAGCACCAATGATGCTCAAAACAAGTAGCACCACACCCAAATACTTTGCGAAGTTCACCATGGTTTCTCTTAAAAACCAGGCAATGAGAGAGAGACTATATATATATATATATCTCACTTCCTTTTGTTTGATATCATCCTCTCCATCTCTCCTATTTATACAACACACAGGTACTACTAAATAATCATTTTCAAATCCATTAGTCCTCATCAATTCTGGCATCAATAATAAAGTCACGAAATAATTGATCATTAATATGATAATTAATTGTGTGGTCAAACTCTTAATACTATAGTAATCTTATCAAAAATCTCACAACAAGAATAAATAATTGCTCATACATTCAATCAAACTTGAGATGAATGGTGGAGTAGGTGATTAATTTGTCTCATATATGTGAATCCTTCAAATTAATTTCTAATGTGAAGTCCTGCTGTCACTCTTGAATATGAATTATATATATTCGTAATGGTGATATTAATTAAGGAAACAGCCCCGTGGAGACCATGTGACGAAAATATGCTTGGTGTGAGGAGGAATAAGCATATATATAGCTTCAGTTATGGTGGCTGTTTCCCTTAATAAACACTTAAAGTGTACGACAAACAAAATAGACATCACATATGTTTGTACCCGACCAAAAATGCAGGGAACCTTATGGATGGTCCTATTATAGTACTATTATTATTGGACCAATCGCCAACCCTGTAAAAATATTTGTTCTTCCTGTGTGCTTAAATTAATTCGGCAAATGGAAACCATGTTCCTTGTTAGCTAAGGTCCATTCTTCGGAATTTAATTTGATATGAGTAACTAGCTGGGGACACCATGTACTTTCTTTCTCTCTCTCTCTCTATATATTTTTTCTTTTTTGAGGAATTCCGAACGGCATCTTAATTTGTGCTATATTAGACAATTCTCTAGCTGTGTCAATATATCTTTTTCTATGGTGAGGGATCAAAGATTGAAGATATTGAATTAATGATTCAAAATCTTTTCAGGGATGGCTAACTAATCCCACTTTCACATAACTAATTTAGCAATTAAAATTTTGTACAAGTTGTTTTTTCTTTAAAAATAAAAAGGGGAAAAAAAAAAAACTCAAAGTGGAGTCCAGTACATCCTCATCACTTCGAGTTCGGGAAGATGCTGATAAAGCTTGATTGGCTGTAAAAGTTTTTTTTTTTTTTTCTTGGAAAATATAAATTCCATACATTCCACCAATTAAATTTCCACGAGGCACCTTAAATTTTAATTATGGCAATTTCCATGTTGACATTTTCTAGAATGAAGGTCTATAATAATAAAAAAAATATTTAACAATTTAGATTATATTAAACTGAATAATTTAAAATATTAAATGAGATGATTCTTTTAATATTAAGAGTTATTTTTCATTTAATAGTTTTTTATTTTTATTATTTATATTATACTTAAAATAAATAAAAATCAAAATAGAAAACTGTCCTCTATGTATAATAATAATTATTAGACAACAGGTAAACTCTAAATATTAGAGATATTTTTTCATCTAATTATTTATATTTTACAATCTAATATATAGTTCATATTACAAAAGAGAGGACTTAATTTAAAATATTTAAAATTTGTTAATCCGATCAGACAATCCAAATTACACACATAGACGTGCTTGTAATGGTTGAAGTGATGGTAGAAATTTAAGAATATTAGTACAGATGCTCCAGATTAAATTACAGGTGGTATTATTCATCTTGTAGAAAACATCCTAAAAGAGAGAAACAAAACTTCATGATTAAACAAGCAAAAGTTGGGGAGAATAACAATAATTCTCCACATTGGGATACTGCAGAGCAGATCCAGAAGGCATAATGGAATACCAATTTCCACGATGGGGTTGGTTTATCGTATGATATGATATGATATCTTTGTAGGGGACCTGCTCCCCATTATTATGTGTATTTTTTTTTTCTTTTTCTTGGATGGTGAGGGTACATACATATTAAGACTAATTTTTTAACGTTTTTAATTGTGAGTAATATTATATTAAGGATACACCTTACATTAAAATGGTGCATTAAACGTACTTGTATTTTGTTAGGTGTTAATTTCAAAACTTGAATTTTAGAATTATTTTACAAAACATCACTTATTTACTAGTCAATTTTTGAGTTCTCAAGAAAAATAGAAGAGGCGATATTGTCAAGGGTTTTGCTAATCTATGCTTAAGGGCAAAGATTAAGAAAGTAATTAATGTAAACCTCTGCTTGTTTGGTATATAATAGAATAATTTTAGAGTAATGATCTGCGAAACGATTTTAGGGGATAAAACGAAAGACGACAAGTGAAACAGTCCCAACAACAATTATCAATTTGATCTTGCTTCCACTTGTCGTACTCCAAAATCTTCCCCGTAGATCATTACTCAAAATCTTATAGTGAATTATGTCATATCAACCATATTAGTTGCAATAAATTTGATGCAGGGATCTGATAAAGAAAAGTGCGGTGCCGTACGTTGTAATTAAGGTCTCAAGTTGAGTGATAGTTAGGGATTGTCGTGCTTCGTAACTTGAGGGTCTCCTCAGAAGAGAAAAATTGTAAAGTTCATGGTATAAAACAGAAACAGATAAAATAGTGACTACATGTGTTGATATCAATCCTGAAAATAAAAAAAATAAAAAATAAAAAAAAATAAAAAATAAAAAACGAAAAAAACTATGGAGAGAATTAGTTTTAATGAAAATTTATTACCCCATTATTAATATATATCACTGGTGCTATTACAGTTGATCTAGATGGTGCAGAAGGGGTGCATCAGCAATGAGCAAGCTATTAATGTCTACATTCTATATGCTAGAATTTGTGGGGAAGCAGAACTTGAAGTCAAGGCTGCCAACCTCCAAACCCTCCACCATAGCCTGCACCAAATCCCCCACCCTCTCCAAAATCGCCACCACCCCCACCAAAACCCATACCACCTCCACCTCCAAACCCCACACCATTTCCACCCTCAAACCCACTTCCAAATCCGGAGCCACCCCCAAAACCATATCCCCCGCCAACTCCTCCTCCTCCACCACCGCCGCCGCCGCCGCCGCCACCGCCACCGCCGCCAACCCCACTCCCGCCTCCAACCCCACTCCCGCCTCCAAACCCACCCCCACTTCCGCCTCCAAACCCACCCCCTTCACCACCCAAGCCACCAACAGTACCAGAAACCCATCCTTTTCCCCAACCACGAAAAGGGATGAAGGGGAAGAAAGTTTTCTCCTGCTCGAAGGCACCCTTTTCACTCACAATAAGTTTCCTAGCGTTACCAACACCAAGAACAAGGAAAATAAGAACCAACACAAGGAACCTAGAACCCATCCTCAATAAAATGCCTAATATTATGTACTTTCATGAGAAATAGCTCTGAGTGAATGAATATATATAGATGTTTGAGAATTGAAGGAGCAGGTAAAATTTCATAAAATCAATTGAGCTATGCTCAGATGGTTAATGCAGCCAACCACTTCCTCTGAAAAATTATACACCTTGACTAAGGATGTTTATTGCTATTCCTGTGTGGCCAATCTTATGATCAATTTAATTAGGTTCATTATAGAGCTGTAAAAGTTGCTTGTATTTAATGCATACTGACTTCAGATTTCGCTTCTTTATATAACAAAATCGGCCCCAGAGCCCCAAGGTAGTGATCATTATTGTTGCACAGCATTGGTAGATTAATAAAACAATGGCTAAGTTGTGCCTAGGACCCCCTTCCATTATAGAAATTTGTTATAAAGCCGACATTTTAGTTGTTTGACTCATCGGTTTTTAGCTTTTTGGCTTCCATTGCCAAAAAACACTTAATATGAAGGTACTAATCAACTTTAAAAACCATAATTTTAGATTGAGAATTATCGTTCAAATTTTATTTTTTGTACGAAGTTGGTTCAAATTTTATTTTCTATGCGAAGATGATTGATTGGATATATATAGAAAAGGACTTGAGAAACTTTTTATATTCCATATACAAGTTGATGTCTTTTCTTGCAAATATATACACAAAACTAAGCAAGAGTTAGCTTGAGAGACACATCATTAACATCCAGGGCCTGCTCTTTGCCCAACTTCAGCGTTGCCAGTGAAGCATTTGAGTTCAGTGGTGGAGACGTTAAATCATCAACTAAGTCAGCCAATCTTTGATTTTTCTGCATTCCCAATTTCACAGCCTCATCCTCCTCCTATCAACATGAAACACCAAAAATAAGAAACACACATACACAAATTACAATAATTTTAGCTGTTATCCTTTTGGTATATATGCATATAGAGGCTATGTGTGTATATATATGTACATATACCCGGATGTTGCAGCTTTTGAGTAGTTCCTTGAAGATGATGTAAGATTTTGGTCTCTGCTCCGATGCTTTACTCGTTATTTCTGCAAATGATAATGTCTCGGCCTCACTCATCCTCCTGTCTCCATTCTGCACTTGCATTTCTTTCCTAGAAAATCATAAAAAGAAAATTGAAAATTGAAAATGTGCAGCTAATTAATACATTATTAGTGTACAATTCTACATATATGGAGCAACAAATTAACAAGATACCATATTTGAGCTCGAATGATTCTACGTGCATTCATTCCTTCCATTCGAAAGGCTTGATTTTGCACAGATTTGGTAAATCCCACATTAGCTGCAAGCTGATTTCTCCTTGCTTCAGCCACAACGGCATCTTCAACAAATGATTAATACTTAGACATGTCTACAATTAATCTAGTGTAATGAAAAGCATTGCTTTTTTGTAATTCTTCTTTATTGTCATAGCACTTTGATTAATGAAGAGCATGGTATTGATTAATAAGTACCTTTCAGCATCTGCTCATGCTTCATGCTCCTGTACATCTGTCCGTTCCAAACCAAAAGGTTTTAGAAGAGTCAGAATGCCTCACCACAAATTCAAAAAAGAAAATTGAACTTCTTTTAGAATATCCCATCGATTTAATAAAAAGGTAAACGGTAAGAAATTAGTTAGAAAATTCATAAAAAATTACTTCCTTACAGTAGTCTCTTCGAGAACTCTAATAAATATTACAACAAAAATAAGCAATTCTCTTAATTTAATTGGACAGACCTGAAGGTGACTCTTTATGTGAGAAATGGTAAGGCCCTTCACATCCATTATCTGTAATACCATCTTTGGTGTAGCTCCTACAAATTTCCAAGACCAAAATCAAAGTAAAAAAGTTGGTCAAGAGGGCAGAGGCATGTATGTATATACAGTACTAGACTAGATGGCTTACTGTCTTCTCCACCTAAGCATTCAACTGCATGCACAAAGCAGTGGTGAAGATCAGGCGTCCATCTCAACCGAGGCACCTTTGACCGGACATATGGCCGTACCACACGCGATTTCAGGCTTCTCCTGGTGAGATTGTCATGGTGGTGGCATCCGGTGACTCTCATGGTGGATGATGAGGACTGCGAATGGCACTGTCCTATGTTAAGAGAAGAAGAAGAGGGAGAGTGCTTCATTTTGGGTGAAGAAAAGAAAAGTGAAGAGGTAAAAGAGAATGAAATGAAATAAATAAAAGCTAGACTTAGAGTGAATAAAATTTGTCATGTTATGCAGCTTTAATTTATCAGGTCAGTTTTAGTCCATAGGAGGTTCGATTGAAAAAACGAATAAAAGGACAAGGAATTTCAGACTTCAAAATGTCTCAACACACCATCATGATTGGGTGAAAATGAAAAGTAATTCAAAACGCTTCTTTTCAAAAAGTTTGTTCATCAATATTTCAACACATTCTTTGAGCTATTTTTTCCTATACTTTTTTTAACTCTAATTGTCTTCTTTTACAGATATTCTCCATATATATGATAAATTCTATAATTCAACATGGGTTTGTCATGCTGGTGTAGGATTATAATTTAAAGGCCAAAATATAAATTAAAATCAAATCCTCTTGATTAGGTAAGTGTCTCACATAATCACAGGTGTGGATTGCATTCTATAGGTCTAAAAAAGTTCAACAACAGTAACATTTTCCTGGTGTTGTTTAGCTTCAAAAACTGTTTAAAAATAAAAATTATATCTTTCCAATTATTTTTTGTTTCACTATGCCATAGAAGTCTTTGATGAGGTCATACTAGGCATATAGGACAAAGATTTTCGTCTCTCTTTAACTCAAAGTTCCAAAGCCAATTACCAAAACCAAACGTTATAACGAAAAGAAGCTTAAGTATGTAGCTAGGAGTGTCATCCACAAGAAAAAAATAAAGCAAAAAACAGACGTTAAGAATCGCCCTAAAAGCATAACATGACCTAAGCCCCCTCCACTGCTTCTCCCGGGCGGTACATACCAAAGACACCCTCAAACATCATACACTTTCCTTCATCCCTCATAGAACCCTTTACTCAACCCACCAAAATCAAAAACTGGCTCATATTAGTCCTTTGCCACGTAAACATGATTCCTCTCTCACGTAGTGGCACGTAAATTATCGAGACACGCAGCATGCACGTCTTATGTGGAAGACTAACATCAGCTTATTCCTTTTCCCCTTTTGGTAGATCATGTCATGTGGGTATTAGATTATTAATTGGTAAGAAGCGAAACAGCAGAAATAAAGCATGAATGTCTGGTTGTGGAGTAGGTTTTTGTATGGAAATAAACAGAAGGGACGGTTTCAACGTGGGAGGAATATTCTCTGGGGTGGAATCGCCACAAACATGGACAAGTGTGTTCTTCATAACGTAAGCTTTGAAATTCTACGGCAAGCAACCTTGTCTGGATAAAGGAGACCCATCCGTTTTCTTCACCGGATATGTTGGTAATAAGTAATCCAAGACTTAACAATCACCAACAAGAATTAAACCGGATTAGTACAAACTAACTTCAAAAGGTGAACTTCATAATTTAGAGGCAAAAAACAAGAAATCTTTTATTATTATTATTATTATTTATCTAACTATGAACTCTGCGATGGCGTTGGAAGTTACTTGAAAAAAAGGTGAACTTCATAATTTAACAATTACCAAAAAGAGTCAAGTTAAATTAGCACTCACTGACTTAAAAATTTTGATTTTGAGTTAAGATTAAAAATTTAAATATTTATAATATTAAACAATTAAGCCTCCTATGTAAAATAAAATAAAATAAAAACACAGAGACATACACATACACGCATAGTTTTAACAATCTTAATTTTGAGTTAAGATCAGAAATTCAAACTCTATAACATTAAGCAATTAAACCTCCTATGTTAAAAAAAGAAAAGAAAAGGGTGCTTTAACAATCTTTGCTGATCATCAGATGCAGAATTTCATAAAATTTGTCGTAAAAATAGTGAAGATGGTCATAACAAGCAATGCAGATTATAGATATTTGATATGGAAACAAGCCCCTGAATGTTCATCTACAGAATCTAGCCATGAAAAACGAAAAAAAAAAAAAAAAGAGTTAATGACGACTTCAATTAAGCTCAAGTAGAGCTCTTGAATAATT